ATGGAACGAATTATCAGTGAGTTAATCAGGTCATAATCTAATTGCAGCTATTATTCCAGATGTGGTTTGACTGCTGCAACAAATTGATTCATCCCCTGATCAGTGTGTACTTAGTGATCTGATGAATGTCTTTGCCCTGAACAATTTTATGGTCAAGACCATCAAGAACTGTCTCTTGCAACTGACAGGACTAGAAAGGTACATTCACATTTAGGACTCTGTCAACCCCTGTACCTGTTACAGCCTTGTTCCAGAGACCTTGTACTTCTCCATGCCACACTGATCTATGACATTGGTAACAGGCTGCTTGGAATTAACAACTATTCCAGCTACCTTGATAAGAAAGTGTGCTGAAAGGGGAAATTCCTCCGGAAGTCCACAAGACTTCTAAAGTCCTATGGTCTAGGGCAGTGGTTCTCAACCTCCCTTTTAATACAGTTGCTCATGTTATGGTGGCCCCAATCATAAAAACTATTTTTGTTACTACTTCATAACTAGTATGCTAATGTTGTCAATCATAATATGAATATCTGGGTTTTTTTTTGGTTTTTTTTTTTTTTTTTTGGTTTTTTTGAGACAGGGTTTCTCTGTGGCTTTGGAGGCTGTCCTGGAACTCACTTTGTAGACCAGGCTGGCCTCGAACTCACAGAGATCCGCCTGCCTCTGCCTCCCGAGTGCTGGGATTAAAGGCGTGCGCCACCAACGCCCGGCTGAATATCTGTTTTCTGATGGTTTTAGGATACCCTCGTGAAAAGGTCATTTGACCCCAAAGTGGGCAAAACCCACAGATTAAGACCCACTGGTCTAGGGGTATGGTGAGCTATCCCTTTCTTTTACATTTTTAATTGTGTGTGTGTGTGTGTGTGTGTTTAGAAGTTAACTTTCAGGAGTCAATTTTCTCCTCCCTCCGTGTGGGTCCTAGGCATTGAACTCATGTCATCAGGTTGGTAGGAGGCATCCTTATCCACCAACCCACTTTTTTTGTTTTCTGTTTTCAAGACCGGGTTTCTCTGTGTAGCTCTAGTTGCCTTGAAACCCAGGCTGGCCTGTAACTTAGGTAGATCTGCCTGCCTCTGCCTCTGGAGTGCTGGGACTAAAGCTGTACACCACTACAACCAGTCCTACCAAATCATCTTGATGGCCTGAGCTATTCCTTTCAAAGTAAAAGACGGGTTATTGTTTGAACATCCCCCCCCCCCATTAAGAAAGAGGTACAAAGCCAGGCCATAGTGGTGCATGCCTTTAATCCTAGCACTTGGGAATTCAAGGTCAGCCTGATCTACAAAGTGAGTTCTAGGACAGCCAAGACTGTTGCACTGATAAACCCTGTCTGAAAAAGCAAAACAAAAGGTACTGTGCAGCCAGGCGTTGGTGGCGCACGCCTTTAATCCCAGCACTCGGGAGGCAGAGGCAGGCGGATCTCTGTGAGTTCTCTGTGAGTTCGAGGCCAGCCTGGTCTACAGAGCGAGTTCCAGGACAGCCTCCAAAGCCACAGAGAAACCCTGTCTCCAAAAACCAAAAAAAAAAAAAAAAAAAAAAAAGGTACTGTGCAGTTGGACTTTTTCTGTCTCACTAGCTAGCTCCCAAATAATTACATGTAAACTTACTAATTAGGAAAGCTCAGCCATAGCTTAGGCTTGTTACTAACTAGCTCTTACAACTTAAATTAACCCATAGCTTTCATCCATGTTCTTTTATGCGGCTTGGTTATCTTTACTCTGTACTGCCCATCTCTCCATCCGGCTGGTGACTCTCTGAGTCTCCACCCCTCTTTCCAGTGTCCTCTGTGCCATGCCCCCAAAATTCTGCCTAGCTAATGCCATTCAGCTTTTTATTAAACCAGTTGAATGACAATCTTCACAGTGTACAAGATTATTCCACAACAACAGTGGATTTGGAGGCAGCACACAATTCACTGGATTCCTCTCTGATCAATTTTTTGAATATTTCAACAAATTGTCAGTTTTGAGCGAGTCCCTCAGCAGAAGGCAGCATTCTCCATAAGCGCTGCCTGCCCAGCAAGCCACGTGCTGCACTGCTATTCTCTGCATGTGGCTGCTTTGCCTGCATGAATGCGTGTGCACTATGTGCATGCCTGCTCCGCAAGAATCCAGAGGAAGCTGTCAGATCCCCTGGAACAGGAGTGACAGTGTGAGCTGCTATGTGGCTGCTGGGAACTGAACCTGGAGACCAACCAGAGCTTTTATCCCCTGAGCCCCTCAGCTTTTCTTTTCTTTCTTTCTTTCTTTTTTTCTTTTTTTTTTTTTTTGGTTTAAAGTTGTGTGTCTCTATGAGAATATGGCACATGTATGAGTGCCACAGAAGCCATAACATGGCATCAGATCTCGTGGGGCTGGAGTTACAAGTGGTTGTGAGCCACACAATATGGTGAGAATTAGCCGGGCGGTGGTGGCGCACGCCTTTAATCCCAGCACTCGGGAGGCAGAGGCAGGCGGATCTCTGTGAGTTCGAGGCCGGGCTGGACCGACAGCCTCCAAAACAATACAGATAAACCCTGTCTTGTAAAAACCAAAAAAAAAAAAAATATGGTGAGAATTGAACTCTGGAAGAAAGAACAGCAAGTACTCTTAACTGTTTGGCTATCTTTCAAGCTCCCCCAATCTTTAGTTCTAGAACTACTGGGATAAAGTATGGAGTATCAGTGAAGTCCTTGGTGCTAGAATAAAATGTTTGAAAATGTTAAAGAACTTGTTTTTCAGGCCTTTAATCCCAGCACTTGGGAGGCAGAGGCAGGTGGATCTCTGTGAGTTCGAGACCAGCCTGCTCTACAAGAACTATTTCCAGGACACAGACTCCAAAGCTACACAGAGAAACCCTGTCTCAAAAAAAGAAAAGAAAAAAGAAACCCTAAAGCTTGTTTTTCATCTATTATTGTTTTGGGTATGTGGTCTTGATGGCTATAATCTCTTTTTTGTTTTGTTTTGATTTTTTGAGACAGGGTTTCTCTGTATTGTTTTGGAGGCTGTCCTGGAACTTGCTCTGTAGACTAGGCTGGCCTCAAACTCACAGAGATCCTCCTTCCTCTGCCTCCTGAGTGCTAGGAATAAAGGTGTGCACCACCAACACTTGGCTCTATAATCTTATTGAATAGTGGAATGTTAAGTAAGCATTTAGCTGCTAAGATTCATCCCCTTAAATAGAAGATGCATGTTGTAGAGGTAAATACATTCAGGATTTGCTAGTTGCAGTTGCTGTATTCTCTTGACCTCAACTGAAAAACCCTCATTTCTCATAAGACCCCAATATTCCTGGAAAATGTCAAAGCCAATGATGTGGGAGGTTTTTCAGAGGAGACGATAGTTTTGTATTCCCAGAGGACAATTGGATAGGTTGGGGCTTTCACAAACCTCAACAGCCCCTGCCAATCATTGGAAGCAGACAGCAGCAAAGTTCAAGCTTCTCATTGCTCAAGAGGCCACTACTTTCTATTACAGATTTCTCCTTAATTTCCTCCTTAAGAAATAAACACAACATCAATTTCTAAGCTAAATTCAGCCCAGACAGGGCAGGAGAGGCCTAACTTTCAGTCATCAGAAAACATCCTTCCTCCTCAACCTTTGGGGAAAAATTTATTTTGGTACAAATATCTAAGATGGCACACATTGGTGAGGGTTTAAGAAAAAAACCTAAATCCTGTACAAGGAAGTTTCTTGCTGACAGGCAGGGAGAAGCTGCTGCCTCCTCCTAGCAGCAGAGTAGACTACTAGAAAGGTGCTCAGTCCATCTCCTAGGAACCTGAATAAACTTTGCCCCCTGTCTATTAAATTCTCTGCTGCTAGCTTGTGCTGCCCAACAGCTTAGCTTTGTGTCTTTTGCAGCAGGGTTACACCACAGCCCAAGATGGCCTAGGACTGGAAGCTGTCCTTCTGAGTGCTGGGATTGATTACAGACAGGAGCCATCACACCACACCTCACCACACTTCTGCCATTTTAAAACCTGTTCTGTGTGAGAAAGCCTGAGTTGGCACTGCAGGAAAATGCTCGCCTACAGACAGAATGGCAAGTCTCTACAGTATAAATATGCAAGTGCCCCCACACTCCAGATTTCCTTGTTTGAAGAATCTGCTTTGGGAGCTGTCTGCAGGTTCTCCTTGTTAGAAATGTTTAGGGTCAGTAGGGTGGCGGTGGTGCATGGCATTAATCCCAGCACTTGGGAGGCAGAAGGAGGGTCTCTGTGAGTTCAAAGCCAGCCACAGAGAAACCTTGCCCTGGAAAACCAAAAAAGCCTTCCAAGGTGGGGGAGATAAAAGGATTTTTTTTTATTTTTTGGTTTTTCGAGACAGGGTTTCTCTGTGGCTTTGGAGGCTGTCCTGGAACTCGCTTGGTAGTCCAGGCTGGTCTCGAACTCACAGAGATTCGCCTGCCTCTGCCTCCCGAGTGCTGGAATTAAAGGCGTGCGCCACCAACGCCCGGCGAGATAAAAGGATTTTAATTCTTTGTCCTAAATACAGGTTTTACTATGTTTGACTGAAAAGGCCCTATTTTATATTTCTTACATGCTTTACCAGGACTCCAATTGGCGTCCCATTCACAAGGGGCAAACTGTTTTGTGTTAAAACCTTTTAACAGTATTTGTTGTCGTCTGGCAGTGGTGGTTTATACCTTTAATCTCAGCACTCGGGAGGCAAAGCAGGCAGATCCCTGTGAGTTTCAAGGCCAGCCTGGTGTACAGAGAAAATTCCAAGACAGGCTCCAAAGTTACGCAGAGAAACCCTGTCTCGAAAAAACAAAAACAAACAAAACCCCAGTATGTCATTAAGATTTTGTTTTTGCGAGACGATTTTTCTGTGTAGCAGCCCTGACTGGCCTCGAACTCACAAAAGATCTGAGTGCTGGGGCTAAAGGCGTGCGCCACCACCGTCCGGCTAATAAGATTCTTAAAGTTGTTTGTTTAAAAAGCCGACACAGAAGCAACTTTGTGTAAAGCTTCTTGGGGGACACTGCCACTATCATTTTAAGATTGGGCACAAAACTTTTATTGGGTTATTTACTTATGAGACACACTGTTGCCCAGGCTGGTTTCGATCTCCAAGCAATGAATCTGTCTCAGTCCCCAGAGTACTGGGATTACATCCAGGATCCGCCATGCCCCATTTTAGAATAGTGATTTATCCAGAGACTCCATTTAGAAATAGAAACCATTAGGTTGCCCATGGCAAGGTATGTTTTGGGGAACCTGTTTACTTTCCCACCCTGTTGCCTCCTTCGAGTCAAACCGAGACTGGAAGGCAAGGTCTAGCGCATTTTCAGACCGCAGCCGGGTCACCTGCCCTTGTGGCGTTCTCTGCAAGGTGTTTCGGCCCTAAGGACGGGCCACTGGTCCTCTCTGAGTCGGAGGCCAGCACGGCGTCCAGCTGCAGATATTCAGGAGGTAATTTTAGAAGAATCCCGAGTAGGAGGTCCTCCGTGAAAGGTTCCGGCGGCAGGCAGGTGACCCCAGACCTGCGCTGGGTCCCGCTTCACGAAGGGCGTGGACCGCCCCTACCCAGCACAGACCCGCCCCTCCCTGGACTGTAGACAGGTCAACAGGGCGGGCCTCTCAGCACAATGGAACACCACACCTGACCGCGCCTCTCCGCGGGGCGGGATGGGACGTCCCTAAATGGCGGCCGCGCCGGGGTCCGTGGGTCACTCTCCGGGCGCCCTTGACGGGCCTTCGCGCCGTGCCACCTAGCTTGCTAACAAGCGGCTGGGAGCAAGGGCGGACGAGGGCTTGTCTTGACCAATGAGCACCCAGGTTTCTGGGCTGTGTCCAATCAGCGCCGACAGAGGAGACAGGTTCGGTTGCGTGCGCTCGGCACGAGGGACGGACACGGGCGCACGGGACCTCTGCTGCTGCGGCCCGGGACGCCCACCTCTCTCCTTCCCGCGCACCGGATGCGGGGACCCGATCGCTTCCGCCGTACACGCAGACGAGCGGGTCGCCAGGACCGAGGAGGCCTCGTGCAGCGGCGCTCTCCTCAGAATCCACTCTACTCCAGCGGTTTCTGCAGAGAGGCATGAGGGGTGGCTCCTGGCCTCGGGAGCGTGAGGCCGGCGCGGGGTCGGCCAGTTAAGGGAACTTCGCGGGCGGCCCGGCTCTCCAGCCCTTCCTCTCCGAGGCCCAGCGGCAGGCGCGGGAATCCACAGAGGCCGATATGTTCCCACGGAGGCCGCCGGCCACCCTGGCCGCCTGGCTGGCGGGCGCGCGGGGCGGGGGCCTGCTGGCCGTGTTGGCCAATCAGTGTCGCTTCGTGACGGGCCTGCGCGTGCGGCGAGCTCAGCAGATCGCGCAGCTCTACGGCCGCCTGTATTCGGAAAGCTCGCGCTGCGTCCTTCTCGGACGCCTCTGGCGCCGGCTGCGCGGCCCTCCCGGCCATGCCTCTGCCTTGATGGCGGCGCTCGCCGGAGTCTTCGTATGGGACGAGGAGAGGATCCAGGAGGAGGAGTTGCAGAGGTGAGCCTCTCTCTTGTCTGCAGTGGCGTCCCTCTTCCGTGGAGAGGGGTGGGCCCGGGCGAGAGGTTGGTGGACACCTTGGGACCTGCCCTGTCGTCAGTGCCCTGTTTGCCCAGTGATCTTCTGATTGACGATGCGATAGATAGAACCATTTTAGCACCACACGTTATTGCTCCTTGGCTGTTAATTCCATTTGTCAGGTTAAAAATAACTGGAAGCGGGGGTGGGGGTTCTCATGGGTAATATGGCACTAAAGAAATATTCCAAAAACAGATTAGATATCTAAGGTATAGAGGCCATTTTTCTGGTAACCAGCATATCCAGAAAAGTGCATATTCAAAACGGGCTGTAAAATAAGCCCAAGGGTGTGCGTGTGTGAGATTATCTTGCCATTTATAAAATGACTGCAATCCAGATGGGACTTGGGCTTTGTGCGGACGGTCCTCGGTCGCTGTGACTTGTGTCTTGGCACATTTAAGAAGCTGGGAGGGGTTTGCCTGTTTGCACAAAGCAAATGGCCCGAACATTCAAACCTGTAAGAGTTAGGTTAAATTTTTGCTGCTTTAGAACTCTTCGAATACTGTGTCATTAGGCTTTGTTTGTGGAAAAAACTATTGACTTATTTTTTCAGTCCGTAGTTCTGAGACTGTAATTTCCAGATATCTTAGAAGGTAAAGCCGGGCGTTGGTGGCGCACGCCTTTAATCCCAGCACTTGGGAGGCAGAGGCAGGCGGATCTCTGTGAGTTCGAGGCCAGCCTGGTCTATAGAGCTAGTTCCAGGACAGCCTCCAAAACAATACAGAGAAACCCTGTCTCGAAAAACCAAAAAAAAAAAAAAAAAAAAAAAGAAGGTAAATGCTTTTGCATTACAGTGTTTCTATATTCCTTTTAAATTGATACTCTCAAATTGTGCCCCTAACCCACCCACCTCTCTCCACTTCTAAATCGTGATTTTAGAAACCAAGAAGGCCAGTTCCTTCCTCCCTACCCGAGAGTCTGTTTCTTCTAAATATTTCTTAGGGAAAGAACCTGTTTTACGTTTTTTTGTGACATTAAAAATGAGAATAGAAGCCGGGCGGTGGTGGCGCACGCTTTTAATCCCAGCACTAGGGAGGCAGAGGCAGGCGTATCTCTGTGAGTTTGAGGCCGGGCTGGACCGACAGCCTCTAAAACAAAACAGAAACCCTGTCTCGTAAAACCAAAAAAAAAAAAAAAAAAAAAAAAAAAAGAATAGAGTGGTAAAGTTTATACTGCGACCCACTGGGCATATATAATACCCAAATGCCAAGCAGCAATTTGTGCAGTACTTAATTGAGAACAAATCCTAGTCTCTTTTAAGAACTGGGACTATGGCCAGGCATTGGTGGCACATGTCTTTAATTCCAGCAGTCTGGAAGCAGAGGCAGGCAGATCTCTGTGAGTTGGAGACCAGCCTGGTCTACAGGGTGAGTTCCAGGACAGCTTCCAAAGCCACATAGAAACCTTGTTTCGAAAAAACAAAAAAACAAAACCCTCTTAGAGGTTGGGTGTATCCCAATGGGATACAGAAGCAGGCGGAGCTCTGATATTGAGGCCAGCCTTGTCTACATGGAGAGGTTCAGGACTACACAGAACCCTGTCTCAAAAGAAAAGGAAAGAAAACATCTTAACAAATCCAATCTTAATAATCTTATTTAAATTTTTGAAGCATTGCTACATCAGTTGTAGAAATCATTTTGTTAGTATCCCCCCCACCCTCACCCTGACTCTTATAGCTTAGGCTGTCCAAAAATTCACGATATAGCCTACACTGGCCTCAAATAGGGACAGTCCTGAGAGCTGGGATTATAGGTATGAGCTATCATGCCCAAGAGAAATAAGATGTATGCTCTTTTTATATTTTTATTACATTTATGTATTCGTGTGTGTGTGTGTGGGGTGTTGCTCTTAAACACTACAGCCTTTGTGTGGAGGTCAAAGAATGACTTGTGGGAGTTTTTTTCTTCTGTTAAGTGGAACCCTGGGATCAAACTCCAGTCCTCAAACTTAGGGACAAGTGCCCCCACCTTCTGAGCCACCTCTCTGGTACTGAAATCAGATCTCTCAATACTTGTTTAGTATTTTCATCCAGTTGACTTCTTAAGCAAAATATTTTTGTGGACTATTATCCTAGCTGGTTTTCTGTTAGACTGGGGCAAATCCCTTGGAAAAATACAGCAGCCTTTCTCTCTCTCTCTCTCTCTCTCTCTCTCTCTCTCTCTCTCTCTCTCTCTCTCTCTCTCTTTCTCTCTCTCTTTCTCTCTTTCAAGTTATAGGAACAAAAAGAGGAAGGATGTTAGGAAATATGAAAATATAGGGGGAAATGTTCCATTAACCTCATTTTTAAAAAAGTTACAGTTCACAGCTCTAAAAGGTTGAGTAATTCTGTTTAATGAGAAATTAATGCTAGTAAATTTTCACAAGGAAAATTGGCCATTTCCCCATTTCTGTCTTTTTGGAGCATTTAGAATTCATTAAACTTTTCAGTGTGCTATTAGCTAGTGAAAAATCCTTCTGGCTTAAAGTAACTTAATGGCCACAGTCACTTTGGTGCATTTTACAGACAAAGCTCTTATGTCAACAAAATGACATAAAAGAGACTTGATCTGTTGAATTTGTAGTTTTACCTTTAACTAGCTGCTTGTCTAAAAATGCCATGAACTACTTTGTCTTATTTCAAGATAATGTTTCAAGTCAGTAATAGCTGAAAACCCCTAATTCTTTCTGTTTTTTGTTTTGTTTGTTTCTTTTTTTGAGGCAGGTTCTCACTATGTAGCTCTGGCTGTTCTGGAACTTAATATGTAGACCAGGCTGACCTCAAAATCATAGAGATCAACCTACCTCTGACTCCCAAATCCTGGAATTAAAGGCATGTGCAACTCTGCTGAACCAAAGGTCCCTAATCTTGACAGTAGTGTGGGATTTGAGGAGATTTTATTAGGTGAAGCAGTTGTGTCGAAATCCCTACCAGAATTATTTTGGAGCCTGGGTCACTGATTGGTGGTGAGGCCAGCACCCTGACTGAGTCACGTATTGGTATGCTTACTCCCTGTTTTTCATTGTGTCTTTCCTTAGTCTTCACTACATCCCTTTTCTCAAATATTGTTTTGGAGATAGCGTAGACTATCTCTCCTTGATCCTTGTACTAATGTAGTCTGCTGATTTTGTTACTATTTCAGGAATAATCTCTCCTGCCCTTTTCTCTCTTACTAAGTCTTCTTAGATGGGAAGATTTAGACACTTATCCTCTCCCAACAAGATTAGACACATAGGAAAGAGGTGTTTCCTTTCTCCACATGCTGTCTGTGATACTGCTTATGCTTTTGTGAGCTTGCCAGTTTTATTAGGTAGAGGTTGAACCCTTCAGGGCAGTAATGGCCAAGACTTGCACCATCATCCATTCATACTGTGCTTTTCCAAGAGTACTGGATGCTGTAGCCCAGCTGGCTTTGAACTCATTTTGTGGGTAAGGATAGCCTTGAACATCATACTGTACTAGTACCTCCTGAGTGTGCTATATGTGCCACTACATATGTGGTTATGAGGTGTTAGGGAGTGACTCGAGGCCCTGCATGTATATCGGACAAGAATTCTATTAACTGAGCTGTATCACCAGCCTGGCCCCTGTTGTTAGGAAGAAGTTTACCAGGGGAAACAAATTTATGCTTCTCTCTCATTCAGGAATGGTGCTTGATATTAAGAGTGCATTTCTAAAGAGCATACCTTTTTGATCCCAGCACTCTGGAAACACAAGTAGGTGGATCTCTGTGAGTTAGATAGAGACCAGCCTGGTCTACATTGCAAGTTCCAGGAGAGTCAAGGTTCCATAGAGAGACCCTGTCTCCAAAGGAGGCGGAAAAAAAGAAAAAAGAAAGAATGTTTTAATAGTCAAGAACAGTCCCCTTGCTTGTTGCCAAGTCAGGCCTGGAATTGCCCTGTTCTCTAGGCAGTTGGTGCTGTGATTGTGCTTTTGTTCTCTTCTGCATATCTAATTGCCTGCCATTAGTAAGATACTGCCCATACTTCAGTACTTAGACCTTTGCAAGGCTAGTCTTGAATTGCATTTTGCAACTTCCTATTTAAAAGTTTAAAAAAAAATGGTGAAACTTCCTTTTCCTTCCCCAAGACAGGGTTTCTCTTTGTAGCCTCGGCTGTCCAGGAACTCACTCTGTACACCAGGCTGGCCTTGAACTCACAGAGATACACCTGCCTCTGCCTCCCAAGTGTTGGGATTAAAGGTGAGCACCACCATGCTTGGCTCAATATAATTATTTTTACCTAAGTCTAAAGTTAAAAAAAAATGTAGTAACTTGGAGTGGTTTTTTTGGTTTTTCGAGACAGGGTTTCTCTGTATTGTTTTGGAGGCTGTCCTGGAACTCGCTCTGTATACCAGGCTGGCCTCGAACTCGTAACTTGGAGTTTTAGAGGTAATAAGAACCTTCAAGAAAAGAGAGGCAGGTGTCTCTGAGTTAGAGGTGAGGTCACAGAGCAAGTCACAATCAGAGCTATACAGAGAAACCCTGTCTCCAAAAACAAAACCAAACAAACAAGAAAAAAGAAAACATGTCTTCACTTTACAGGTAAAATGAATCTCATAAGATCGCACAATTAGTTTATATTAGAGCTAGGACTACAACAAACCTCTCAAGGACTGCTAAATTGCTCAAAAATTATGTTGGGTTGCCAATAGTTTAAGTTTGAACCTTTCTTTCATATTTTTTTTAAAGCATCATATGTAGCCCTTGGTGGCTTGTGGTCTAAATTGACCTTGATCATAATAATCCTCCTACCTCAGTTTCCTTAATGTTGAGATTACAAACTATGCCAGTTACTCCTGGTGTGTTTTTGGCTTTTAAAGCAGCATATTAATATAATGTTTTAATATAAGAATTGAATTACTGAGGTCTACTATTTTTCATTTACTCAGCTTATTCAATAAATGTTTATTTACTATTTACTACCTTAGAGATACTAGGAATTGA